CAAGGTACGATGTCACTTTGCCTCTCGAATCTTCTGGGGTCTCCTCGGCACTGTCCCCACTAAGGGCACTCCCATGCAGAGGGTGACAGCCCTGTCCTGCTGAGATCTCGGTGAGAGGTGTGGGCGGGTTAACCAGAGGTGCAGGGCATGATGGAAGGCATTCTCTTCTGAGCGGTGTTGACCTTCTTTTCCCACAGCCAGGAGCCAGGTAGGTGCCATAGAACCATCTCCCTGGGCATTTGGCTTTTGTGGACCTTCGGGGGGGGGGGAGCTATGCTCCCATCATGCTTAATTTTTTTAATTAAAATTTTATTTTTTTTATATTAATTACAGTTTATTTGCTTATGCTTAATTTTTTATTTTATTCTTTTGTTGTAGTTGCTGTCTGTGTTGTTCTGTTCTGTTGTGTTTTGTTTTGAGACAGAGTCTCTCTACATTGTCCTGGCTGTCTTGGAATTATCTTTGTAGACCAAGCCTTGAACTCACAGGAACCCACCTGCCTCTGCTTCCCAAGTGCTGGGGTTAAAGACATGAGCTGCTATGCTTCCTCATCAGAGTTTAAAGGTCAATTTCCCATTTCTGAGGAACTGACTCAGGGGGCATCAATAGGGCATTTCTCTTCTCTTCCTCTATGTCCTATGTTTTGCCACTCCATGGCCAACACATAAACCTGTCGCTCCCCTCAACTCCTCAAGCTCCACAGCTCCTCTTTCATGATGACTTCCACAGGGAAGTAAGGAGCCTCATGCAAATGGAGAGAGCTACAGAGGCAGGCCTGAAAGATCTGGCAAGGAGCCGAGCCAGGAGGTTGTCCCAAGGGCTCCCAGGGGTCTCTGAGGGGGCTGAGAGAGGCTGAGACCCAGCCCAAGACAGGCCTTTGCTCTTGGGCCTGCCCATGGCCCTGCAACCTTGCCCTAGAGACAGCCTGGAAGCCACCAGACACATGCTCAAAACAGGCCTGAATAGATCCCCTCGGAGCTGGACTTGGTGGGACAGCCTTTTTAAATCCTAGCCCCCAGGAGGCAGAGATGGGGGAATCTCTGTAATTCCAGCATCCGGGACTACATAGTGAGACCCTGTCTCAAAAACAAATTTTTTTTTTTTTTAAAGCAAAGGGATCCCTGCACAGAACCCGCACATTATGGGCTCCTGCCCTTCATCATCAGCTTTGCTGTGGGCTCCTACTCCTGCTAATGTGGCCACTTGTCTGTGCATTAAATCCTAACAACTTCTGCCACTGCACCAGGAAATGATCCCCAAATTCTTTTTATCCATTTACTCATTCTTTTTTTTTTTTTTTTTTTTTTTTTTTTTGAGACAGGGCTTCTCTGTGTAGCCCTGGCTGTCCTGGAGCTTACTGTGTAGACCAGGCTGGCCTGGAACTCACAGATTTGCCTGCCTCTGTCTCCTGAGTGCTGGGAATAAAGGCATATCCCACTATGCCCAGCTTAAAATATTTTATCTCTAAGCCCTCTCTATTCTCCCATCTCAAAAAATCCATCTCTAAGCCTTCTTCTCTCTCTATTTAAAAACAAAACAAAACAAAAACCCAAACTCTTAAGACCCTTGTTTAAACTTTATCTCAGGATTTATAAATCCATTAAGTGTGCTTTTAAAAAAGAATCTGTAAAATCTGTAACAACAACAACAACAAAAAGTTAACTTAAAACTTGTAACAAGGGCTGGAGAGATGGCTCAGAGGTTAAGAGCACTGACTGTTCTTCCAGGGGTCCTGAGTTCAAGTCCCAGCAACCACATGGTGGCTTACAACCATCTATAATGTGATCTGGTGCCCTCTTCTGGCAAGTATGTGTACATACAGATAGAGCACTCACATAAAATAAATAAATCATTAAAAAAAACCTTGTAACAAAAGCGTTGACAGTTAAAAAATCTATAGGTAAAGGTTATTTTTGTTGTTGTTGTTCTGTTTTGTTTTGTTTTTCAAGACAGGGTTTCTCTGTGTAGCCCTGGTTGTATTGGATTTGCTTTGTAGACCAAGCTAGCCTTGAACTCACAGAGATCCACCTGCCTCTGCCTCCTCAAGTGCTGGGATTATAGGCATGTGCCACTGCACCCAGCTCATAGGTAATCTTAATTTGCTACAGAATAATATATATAATATATTATATTATACATAATAATATACATATATACATTAATAATATGTATATATATACATATACTCAATTCTTGTTTATAAAAAATAGGACTTACTAACAACCTGTTTGATGACTAAGGTTTATAAACTCCCAAGGTCCATTCAGGCTAGCAGAAACTGCTAAGTTTGTTAAGCTTTATCTATTTGGGTAAACTGAGTCATACAAGAGACTGTGATAGTCTGTAAAAGTACAAAAGAATCAGAAAAGTACGGTTCCCAGTCTCTCTGTGGACCATATTTATGGTTTAAAGTTTTATTTTAATGATGCTAAAAGATCTTCAATCCAGATTTTTAAGGCTCAAACTTAACAGGGATAAAAACTACAAGATCCCAATCTTATTAATGCTGTAAAGCATTAAAGAGAATTAAGACATGCAAGTTAGTGATAGGTCACCTTACCGATGATAGATTTTTTTTTTTTAAATGTGCTTCAAACTATGCTAAGTATGCTAAGTCACGCTAAGAACAAATGTAATTCAATTGCAGGGACAAGTTCTAGCCTTCTGTATAAGTTGTCAGAGTTAAGCTTGAAGCAAGTAACTAAAATCAATCAGTCTGTTTCAAATCGGGTATACTTGATAGATTAGATGATGGCCCTCCATCCTTGGGGAGATCTGAATATGGCATTTAATGCGTTTGACGAAAAAGGCCTCCCTGGATAGACAAAATACCAGTTTCTGGTGGCGGCAGCCGAGGCTGTCTCCAAAGAAGCCGGGCAGCCATGGACTTCACTGCAGCTCGCTTCAAGCATGGGACCACGTAGCACTGGGCAAAGAGCCTTTCTATGCCTCTACAGAAAAATCTCTCAGACCTTCTGTTCCAGCAGCCAAGGCCTGACGCTGCCCTGCGAGGCTGCCAAAGATTGATGACCTCTGCCCCCAACAAAGCCACTGACATGCCCACGGAGGGTCCCAGGCTGGCTTGTCTCTGTCATTCTTGATACAGAGGCCACTGGCTTGGTGCTTCCTGCTCGTTTGCCCCGATGGCCACGGCCACTCTGCTGCCTCTTAGTCACAACGAAAACCTGAACCATCCAATGGGTTGGTCACATCAGCAGTTTCTTTACTGTGCCCACCACAGTGTCCATGTACACACGCTTTTATGATAAGGGGAACAGTGTGTACACACGTGTGTCCAGACACGTGTCCTCACACTGAAGTTCTCTGCTCACAGTGGGAGCCTGTACGGATTAGATGAGGACATGGAACGCTGATCCCCTAAGACTCAAGGAAGCCTGCGTTCCAGAGGGGCCTGGGCTGACAAAAAGCACCCTGGCTGTTCCCAGAAGTCCTTTCTAGGCCCCTTTTCTGATCTCCTAACCCGATAGCTCAGAAAAAGGCTAGGGCAGTGAGGCTCATCCTTTCCTGCTTTGTGGTTCTTTCTGGTCTTCTCCTACCAGCCGGGACCAATGGACGACTGGCGGCACCCCTGTCCTCTGCCTCCTCGCACACAGCCTAGGTTATTGTTCTGTCTTCAGCCAGCACCGACCTAAGGGGGGAGAAGCTGGTGTAGACTAGGGCACACTCACTCTGTTCACATTGGCAATTCTTGGCCTCGTTGTTCCCAAGATGTTTACATGACTAACAATGGCGGGGGAACCACCCGGGCAGGCCACTTGGGCTTCAGGGCTGCTGAGAAGTGTCCTAGATGGTTCCTCTCTGCAGTCAGCTAAAAGAAGCTCTGACGGGTAGGATGGTCAAGGACTACAGCAACTTGCATCTGAAGAGTGTAATGGAAGGGTCAGATGAACCAACTAACCTACCTATTTTTCTTTCTTTCTCTTTCCTTTCTCCCCCCGCCTCCCCCTCCCCCCCACTGCTTCTCTGTGTAGCCCTGGCCGTCTTGGAACTCACTCTGTAGACCAGGCTGGCCTCAAAAGCAGAGATCCACCTGCCTCTGCCTCCTGAGCGCTGGGACCAAAGGTGTGTGCCACTTGAAGTAATGATTTGCTTTGGCTGAGAGAGTTCATCACCAGAATGAAATTTGAGAAAGCACAAACGCTGTAGCTGAGCAGACCTGGGGGATTCTTTTTAGATTCACATCTGCCACTTAGCTGTGCACCCGGGGCAGGAACTTAACCTCTCTGAGCTCATTGATCACAGGTAAAACAGGGGTGTGCTGACAACATCTGTGGAATTCTAACACGACTTCCCACAACCTGAGAAATAGCAGACTGGCCCTCAGGGCCCTGTCAGAGCCGGCCATGGCTCCCTGCCCATCCCAGGTTGTCATCGCCATCCAGCACAGGGAGGTAACCGCGCCTCCTCAGGCAGGGGCTCTGAGGCCCAGACTGGAGTGAGGGACGGCGTCTCAGAGGCTTCTTTGTTGGAAGAAAGGGAAGGCAGCTTGGTCTTAGTCAAGATGTCTTGGGGACCTGTGTAGCCCCTTGGCTAAGGAGTGGGGCAGGGAGGGATGGCCAGAGCTCTGAGAAGACTTCCAGACAGCTTTTCCTCGTAGGAAGTAAGGAAGGAACCAAGGGAGAAGACCCCAGGTCCTCTAACTTCCGGTGCTTAGGACAGGAGGGGGTCAATGACACTGAACAGCCTCCCTCCTGCTATGGCGCCCCCCCCCCACAGGACCCACACCAACCCACTCCACCCATAGGCATGTGGATTCTGGATTCTGGGCAGCCTGGCCCCTGGAAGAACAAGAGGAGCCTGGAAACTCCCCACAATTGGCAATGTAGCTTCTGTCTGTCTGTCCATCCATCCATTCATCCATCCATCCATCCATCCATCCATCCATCCATCCATCCATCCATCATCAGCATAGGCCCATGCGTGAGTGTCAGACCTGACGATGGAATCAAGAGAAGAACTCAGACATCATTCTCAGCGGACAGATTTAAAACACAGTGTGGCTCATTTTATTTCATCTTGGGGGGGAAAAAACCACAAACAAATAAACAAACAAAATAGTCCCTTCCTCCAGAAGGAATGGCAGTAGGCAGGGCCACTCACGGGGCAGCTCTGGGTACCCAGGCTCGGGTCCGAGGCTCGACAGCGCTAATCTCCCTCCTGGGACCCGAGCCCACGCTCTGGCACCCTTCCCTTCACAGTTCCTGTCTGCCAGCCCAGCCTGGCTGCCCCGAGAAGGCCCTGTGACTAAGGGCATGCCTGCTTCCGGCAGCAAAAGAGGACTGCCTGCGACTCCTCGGGATAACAGCAGGATCGACAACAGACCCAAGCAGCCGGGAGGGAAGTCAATAAAATAGAAAGGGTTTCCTCACATTTTTAATCTTGTGGAAAAAAAAAAAAGAAAGAAATAGGCAAGTGCCACTTGTAGGCCAGCAGCTCCCTGAGCCCTAGACGGTCTGGGGAGGGTAGTGTACTATGGAAGGAGGACTGAAGCAGCCATGCCCTAGCATCAGGTCAGTCCTATAAGCCACAGCTGCTTGACTGAGCCGAGATGGCTTCTATTTATTTATTTATTTATTTATTTATTTTGATGCTTCTGGAGTAGGGGACCTGGGCCCTGCCTCTGAAGATGCTGCTGCTGCTGCTGCTGCTGCTGCTGCTGCTGCTGCTGCTGCAACCCTGACCCAACCCAGGGCCCTGCAGCACGAAGCCTCTGCTTCTTCCACCCCGGGCCTTTCTTACTGGGCTTCATGCTGCTCCAGCGTGATGCTCCCCTCTTCTTGGTTCAGAGCGAGAACACAACAGGTTTCCCGGCATGGTCTTTCTTTTCTTCTTAGTGAGATTGGTCCAGCCAACCGAAAAGATAGAGGTTTCTTTCCCTCAGGAAGGGGCAAACTCAGAGGACCATGAGGATGGCCCTACTCTGCCCTGGGCGAGATGGTCCCCTAGGCCAGGGTGCTCTTGGCCTCCTTCCTGGTGCTCTTGGCTAAGAAGCTCCGCATCCCCAGGAGACCTCTGGGCACTCCCTCCGCTCACCAGCCCCAGGCTGTAGCCATTGGGCCGCCGTCCAGAATGGGAGGCACTGCCGTTAGCCCACACCCCCAGGGGGTGGCCATTGAGGCGGAGGCTGACATGCTCCCCCTCCGTACTGTGGGATGCAGAGGCCCAGGCACCGGAGCTCCCTGCCTTGAAGGGTTCCTGCCGCCTCAGGACGTGGGTTCGGATGATCTTCCGGAAGGTCTGGCGGAACTCGCGGATCCTGTAGGCATAGATGAAGGGGTTGACGACAGAGTTGCTGTGGGAGAGAATGATGGCCAGGTACATGAGCCATGGGGGGGCGTGCTGGCACGCGGGGCAGAAGAAGGTGAAGCAGTTGATGATGTGCAGAGGTAACCAGCAGAGGGCAAAGAGCCCCACGATGATGGCCAGGGACTTGGCCGCGTGGACCTCCTTCTGAAGCGTGGACCGAGTCCGCTCTCCGGGCAGAGGCTGGCTCTCCATCTGCTTCAGCTGCCTCCGGGCTGCCAGAAAAATCCGCAAGTAGATGGCCAGCATGAGCAGCAGGGGCAGCAGCACGAAAGCAAAGAAGTTGTAGTAGACCATGTAATTCATGGGCACCACGTCCTCAAACAGGCAGGTCACCTGGCCCTCGCCACAGGTCTGCGTGTAGTTCTTGCCTTCCTGAAGCTGACTGCAGTTGTTCCAGCCCAGCATGGGAGTCAGACCGATGGCAAATGACAGCACCCAGCAAATCGCAATGATGCCCTTTGCCCTGGTACCCGTCACCAAGCCATTGTACCTGGGGGAGAGAGGACTGGTATTAGAAGCCTGAGGCACCAGAATCTGGCAGGGCCAAGAGCCAAGAAGCCCACAGAAGACCAGGTGGTCCCTGTGTGCTGGCTGCAGGGTCTTGGACTAAGCACTAACTCCTCCTAGTCTAGGTGGTAGACTCTTCTCACAGCTGCAGGAAGATAACCGGAAGCAGACATCCGGGGTGTGGATGCCATCGCACAAACATTCGGACGTTATTACTCTTAGGTGTGGTCTTGGGATTTAATGTAAGTCTGGTTTGAGAGAAACAGGTGATCATAAGGGAGACAAGGGCCTCTTCCGTGCTGGTTAATCTTGGTTCCTACTCTAGCATGCTTTCCTTTAGAGCGGGAACAGAACCAGCCAGGTCAGACCCGTAGATGGTGTGAGCCACTTATGCTCCACGCCTTTTCTTCCCCATTTGACTTGGATCCCCACGGTCCTCAAGAAGAGGCTGCCCAGGGCATGGGGGAGGAGTGGAAGTCCCAAACCAAATGAAATGTCATCTCCCCTCCAAACCCACCCACAATCCTCTGGGTGGAAACGAGGCAATTATGTATTGACATTTTCCTGGCAATCTAAATAATCAACAGGTACCGAAGGGGGCATGAAAGAAGACAGTAATCTGCCTGAGGGCCTGGCGAAAATATTCCTGTGCTGATTGCCAGTCTTGGGAGGGGAACTGGGGGGCTTGATTTGTAGCCTCAGCGCCACTGGAAATACATCATCGCTTTAGTAAAGTTTTTTTTTTTTTTTTTTTTTTTTTTTAAGTCTTCATGACTAAAAAAGGCTGGTGGGGGGGCTTTGGTAATGTCTAAGGGATGGACTTATGCTGAATGGTTTCAATTCTGGCAAAACAAGACTTCCCTCCCAGTGGAAGCTTTCACTCTTCACGTTCAGGCTAGACATCTTGGAGAAGTTTTCTACCTCCTCTGAGGGCTGGGGGTTTCACTTGCGTCTATGTCCACATTGCCAGCTGTGGGCAGGTAGGTAACAAGGAAAACATACACACTTGCTGATTCCAGACTCAAAGCAGCTACAGCAGCTACAGAGAGGCTATGACCCGTGGGTGGCAGGCACAGGAGCTACTGATAGCAGACATGGGGCAGGAGGCTGGGAATGTGTTTACCCTGTCCTCGTTGTGATGCAGCCTGTATGCACAGTCAGAGAACTAACCACACGTGTGAGGATCTAAGATGAAGCTTCATCATAAGAGGAAGGAGGAAGGAGGGAAAGAAGGAAGGAAGGAAGGAAGAAAAGAAGGAAGGAAGGGAGGGGAAGGAAGGAAAAAAGGAAGGGAGAAATAAAATGTATACCCAGTATTGCTAGAGTTCAAAAAGAGCTGGATAGTTGATTTTTTTTTTTTTGAGGAAAAAAACAAAACCAAAACAAAACAAAAAACCCCTCCCATTTTAGGTGCTGTCGCTTATGAAAGAAATAAAGGAAAAAACCCTAGTAGTTTCTGACCACTTAGCTAATCTGTCCCTCTGTTTCAGAGCTGGGGAAACTGAAACTGAGACCCAGGGAGAGGCGGGGACTTGCTGTGAACCTCTTGAGGCCCAGGGACAGCTCAAACCCAGGTGAATTTGTCATAGTCAATTACAATCTCTTCCCCGGATGGTGCTAAGGATCCAGGCCCTTGCATATGACGGGCAAGCGCTCTACCCCCAAGCTATAACTCTAGCCTGGACAACTCAAAATGCAAACGGAAACTCTCAGGCATGTTCTCAGGGGCTCCCTGGGCCCATGAGCGGGGCCTTGGTCACCAACCACGGGACCTCTGCAGGAGGGCCACCGACTTCCTGTCTCTACTAAGCACCAGAAAGCAAGAGCTGCATGTCTCTTTGGAGGCTCAAACATGGAGTCCTAGCGTCCCCAGCTATCTAACACTACATGCTGACGCTGGGCCGGGCAGCCCTCAACAGTGCCTTATAGGATCTTCACGGGAAGAGGGGAAGCTACCTTAGTGTTTGCACCATCCATCCCGGGGACAAACGTACCCTTCCTGGGTCCTAGTCCTGGTACGTTACTGTAAACACAGAGTGCTAGGTCACTTTACCTCTTTGGGCCTCCATTTCCTCATTTATGAAACGAAACTAAGAACTCTAGGCATGTCACCACTGCGTATAAGGGCACGATGCTGAATTTAGTGGTGGGGAACCCCGGGGAGCCACGCTGGGGTTCAGGGCGGGTCAGTGCTACTCAGCTGCTGTTCAGAGAAATGAGCCTCCCGGGATACTGAGGAGCTTCTAGGGGTGGTGAAAGGTCTCCCACCTTGGTGGCCTTTCAAACTGCTTTCAGAATGGGCCTTCTGCCCCTGTCCAGGGAGTTAGAGAGGTCTTGTAGTCTTGGAGAAGTAAGTAAGTAAGTAAGTAAGTAAGTAAGTAAGTTTCTGAGTTACCAAGTTGGTGCTGGAGACATCTCAGGCCCGAGAGCTTCTGGGAATACACCATGGAAATCCCTGGTTTGCTCACTTTTCTTTTACAGAATGGAAACCCATAAGGGGGAAATCTCCCACTGCACTCTGGGAAGAAAGCCCCTTTGGGGACAGAACCTAATACATAAGATGTGCTTTCCTAAGTTGGCAAGGTACTGAGGAACTTGGGGACAATGTTTAAGCACATGCAAGTATTTTGTAAACACATACATATACCAAATAGAAGCACATGCTTCATATTTCCAGCACTTGGAAACAGAGGCAGGAGAATCAAGAAATGAAGGTCATAGAACAGAAGCCTGAGGTCTAGGACAACATCAGGACCCAAGTAGAATCACGGACAAACCGCAGCTATCCCAAGGGCCCAGCCTGGCCTGTATCTAATACAGTCTTGTTCTGGCCTCCAGATAAATAGTCTGTGCAGCTAGAAGGCTGCTCAGGCTGCCTAGCGTGACATGGAGCCATTCTGGGGAGCCTCAGAGATACAGGGTGAGGCTGCCAGAGTCTCCAGCAGTGCCTGTTCTCAAGTGGCCTCCGAATCCCTGTATCCAAGCTTGTAGAGGTTGCCTTTCCCCGAGAATCCTGATCACCCACACTGCTCACCTATGGTTCCAGAACATGCCCGCAAATCCAGGTGGAGTTTTCACGTACATTTGCAACACTAAGGAGAAGGCCCGTCTTTCTGAGTCATCTTAATGACCTAAGAATTCAAGAGCAGCTGACCCAAAGGAGAAACTCAAACTCCTTCCACACGGGCGGAGGCTAACCTAAACCAGCTTCACACCATACCTGCCACTCCCCAGCCAGGCTACCTCTCTCCGGCCCAGAGGAGGGGCCGTGCCCACGTGCTCAGCCACTCCTTCCTTGGGACACCTGTCTGGGTTTCGTCCTCCTGACACCTGACCTCCTGCCCCCACTTCACACTCTCACGACCGCGAGCACCCTGCAACACCAGTATAGCAAGGTTCCTTCCAGAGCGTAGCGCCTCCCAGCATCCCTGTGGGGGGAAGACTGGAACTCAGGGCTTCATGAAGCAACTGGTGTTCTACCACTGAGCCATCCCTCTAGTCCAGCAGGGGCTTATGGCCAAATTGCCAAACTGGAAAGCTTCCCCCCCGCCCCCTTGCTTCCTTTCCTTTTTGTAGTGCTAGGCATGCAGGCCAAGACCTTAGGCATGCTGTATAGACACTCCACCACTGTGCAATGCCTGGCCCTCACGCCCTTTCGGAAAGCAGAGAGATGTATTTTCTAGGACTTTAGGTCTCGCAACAACTGATTTCCTGTATGTATGATTTCCTTCTGGCCTGTTCCTTAGGAATGGGAGCACCAGAGGCCAGTGTGAGACTTGGAGACAGTGGGGTGAAAGATCCCTAGGGAAGGACCTGGCCACTTTTCATCCCTTGCAGACAGAGCAGCAGCGTTGCCTTTGACCCATTTTTCTTTATTACCAATGAGACCTTGCCTCACTTTAACAGGGCCCCTACACTCAGGAAGGAGGAGACTGATTATTCCAAAGCTGAAAATTCTTTAAAACAACAAAAGAATTCCTGGTCATGGTCCGAGCCTAGGACTACGCTTCCATCAAAGACTAGAGCCTGTGGACCTTGCTGACAGCACAGGAAATACCCTAGAAGAAGCTGAATTCCTAGCTGTAAAGGGAAGAAAATGAGAGTCCAAGCTAGAAAGCGACCCCAGAGCCAGCCAAGAGCTTCCAGCCCTCTCCAGATTCCCCTCATGCTCGGTCTTCTGGTCCTCTGGTCCCCTCCAGATCCCCCTCATGCCTGGTCCCTTGGTGTCCTCCATCTCCCCTTCATGCCTGACTTGTTCTCAGGAGCTCTCATACAGACACCTCCACATTCTCAGTAACCGGAAACTTGAGGGGACAGGAAAGTGAAGGAGCTCAAAAGCCAGGAATGCAGTCAAGGGCTCCGGAGTCCATCCAGACTGGGAGACACAGATGTCCTTTCCTGGCTCCAGTCTCCCACAAGGGTCATGACATCTGCTCTGGCTGAAAGGCTGGACCAGGATGATCAAAGGACATCCCGTACACACGCCCCATGGCAGCTGTAAAACTGCCCACAGGCAAGACGGGCACTCTCGGTGGGCAGACCTATTGGCTCCTTGAAGAGACTAGCCTGTGCTTGCCGAAGTGCTCAGAGCTCAAATGGCTAAGTAGAACTGAGGTCAGGAGGTACTGAGGGTCAGGCATTGCAACTACATTGGGGATATAGTGAGCCTCCAGCTCACAAAAAGAGCAGAGCCCTTCCCCGCTACCCTGCCCAGCTTCGTCATTCGGACACGCTTACTGAACCCACAGACTTCCGTGTGCTCCCCTTGTCACCCATGAGGAAACAGGCCGTAGGGCAGCCAGCTTTCTACAGACACACAACTCATTCCGTACCATCTGGGGGACTCAGTCTCTTGATTCTGAGAAAACAGAGATAGGGAGAGGCCGAGGAGAGGAAAGCAAGATGGAGTCCTTAAATCAAGAATGAGATCTTGATTTAAAGGTCTTGAATCAAGAATCCTGATCTTCCCTGCTCAGAGTTGGAAGAAAGGGGTTGTTAGGCTCCCTTTTCTCCTTAGTGACCCGCTGCTGCACAGGCTGAGGCTGTCTCCTGAGGTAGATGCCACTGACCGCTGGGGACCCACATGCGGACTCCCCCGGGCCTCTGTGTTCTGATCTGCCATTGCAGGAACCTGGACCTTGGTGTACTTCAGAAGCGTGGGGTGGAAGCAATGGGACAAGCTGTCCCCACACTCAACCTTTAACCCCGTCTCTTCTTAGAGCTGGCCAGAGTCCCTCCCTCCTGTTTGTTATTTTGTTTGATTATTTTTCTTTTCTTTGAACAGGGATCTTAGTGCAGACTCCTGGCTGGCCGGGAGCTCACCATCCGCAAGCTCTAGCTTTTGTCGAGTTCTGGGATATAAGCATGTGCTTGCTACCTACTATGCCTGGCTCAGGCCCCTTTGGCAACACAAGGCTCAGGCTCCATCCCTTTGGGTGGTTTCTTGTGGGTGTTTGCTTTCTCCCTTAGGGCTCAGATGATGGCAACTGCTGTGTGAGGTACCTTCCGGGAGACTGAGCCACTCAAGGCAGAGCAGTCCTCAAAGACTGATGTCACAGTGATGGGGGCTACGTTTCTCCCCGGGGTCTGCTATCGGCGCCTTGGATGGCTGTGAGAGAGCTAGCCTCCTTCTCAGAGCCTCCTTTTTCTATCCAGAAAATGAGAGGAAGGAAATGACCTTCAAAGGCTCTCTTGCATCTGACCCTCAAGTTCACGGCTCATGGAGCCTGGTCCTTCTCATTGCTAGGTGCCCTCCGCCCACAGTAGACAGCTGCTGATACTTCCTCTGTGGGCGGGAACTCCGACTGAGGAGAAAAACTCACTATGGGGACCATCCATTCCAGTCCTCCCCACCCTGGTTACGGAATCCTTCCTCCAGGCCTGCAGCGACTCTGGCCACAGGACCTAGCTCTGGTAGAAAGACACAGAGATGGCGCCCCTGGGAGAGTAACACGTCTGGGTTACCTACAGGGTGGCTGGGTAGAGGCCTCCGGGAAGACCTTTTTTACACAATGCTTGGTTGTAGCCACGTCACAAGAGTCACAAAAACCAAAAAAAAAAAAATTGTTGCACGGCCCCAGCCACTAATGCAGGCAGAGTCCCCTCAGACTCAGGCACAGCATCATTTGCATAGACATTCAAATGACTCACTGTGGCATTTGGCCAAGTCACTTCCCCTCTCTGGGTCACTCTCCTAATGTACCCCCTGGGGAAAGGCTGGCTGTGGCAGAGGCAGGCTCCTCGCTGAGGTTCTGTGGTTTGCCGTGGCTCCCCACCCACCTCGGATCACACCCAGATGTACGAAAAAACAGCTCACGCAGCAGCAGCCTACAGCAGCAGAGCCGACTACCCTCATCTGCAAGCAGCCGGGCACAGCTGCCCACAGACAGCTTCAGCATGTGACCTGGGCTGTACCCCGTCCTTACAGGGGTAAGGCCTGGGCAGCTCTGCAAAGATTCAGACCGAGTCCCCGGTCCCTCAGCCCTGTGCACAGACGGAAGCCCAGGCTCACCGGAGTGGAATGCGGATGGCAATGTAGCGGTCAATGGCGATAGCCAGGAGGCTGAAGATGGAGCTCTGCGTGAGGACCAGGACGAAGCAGGCGAAGAAGAGGCAGCCGTGGCAGGCGGCGCAGAAGCCGGTGCTGATGGTGATGGCGAAGGGGATGGCCAGCACGCCCACGGCGATGTCAGCCGCCGCCAGCGATACCACGAAGAAGTTGGTGACGTTCTGCAGGTTGCTGTTGATCCACACGGCCCAGCACACAAGCACGTTGCCCATGATGGCCAGCACGGCGATGGCCAGCTCCACCGTGATGTACACTGAGGAGCCCATGGCGGGAGCAGCCACGCTCGGGCGGGCTCAGCAAGGATGCGGGCCTGGGCCAGCTCCCGGTCCATAGCTGCAGCCCGGCCGTCCGCCCACCCAAGCCCCGCAGCCCTTTCCTCACAAGAGCCACGAGTGTCCCCAGACGGGGCTCCCCAGAGGCCTTTTCACAGATGGCTCGGCGTCTCCTGAGAGCATGGCTCCTCCAGGGGGACCTGGCCTGTCTCTGAGGCTCAGCTTGAGGGTTCCGAGGTACCTGCAAACAGAGAGAGAGAGAGAGAGCCGGTGAGCAGCTGAACCACTCTGGCCACGGCTGGGTCCGAATTGGTTGTGGGCCAGGTGACTGCCAGAGAATGACTACTGGCTTGCTCCAGTCGGAACACAGGCCCAAGGAGCTCACTGGGTCCAGAGAAGTCCCAGCAGCATCTTCATCCGACCCTTCCCTGTTCTCTTCAGGACAGGCTCGGGAGGGGCCGCAGACAGACAGAACCAGGACCCCCACTGACCTGTCTCACTACCCGAGCTGCGTTCTCCTCACGCCAGGCAGTGCAGTGCCTCCCTCTCAGCTCACACTATCGGCTGAGGATTTGTTTGTTTGTTCTGTTTTAATCTATGGGAGCAGGTCAAGGCAAACAATAATTATGTTGGTTCCCCTTATGGAGCTTTTCAAACCTTCTATGGCAGCCTTGCCAGCCTTCTGGGTCCCAATACTCACTACAAGCCCCGTGAGACCCTCCCTCCCCGAAGGCTCCTTCCCCACTGGGCTTTCCCAATCCCACTGAGCCAGCCTCCCAGCCCACTTTTCTCCATCCCTTCAGGGAATTATCATTCCCACCTGAGGAACACTCCTGTCCCTAAGGTCACCTCAGACACTCCTGGAGTCCCCTTCTGGAAGGATCTGGGAGCCTTCTGGTCCTATCCTCCAGTCCCAGCAGGGAAGCACTCTTACCCTCCCACCCTCCCAGGAGGCGAGAGCAGGGTCCCAGCCAAACCCACCGAGCCAAGAGCTCCTGCCAGTAGGCTGCACAGCCGGTAAGGCTGTGCCCTGATTGCTTCCCTTCTCTGAGGGATCCGCCTCCGCTTCCTGCCCACGCCTCTCCCCACCTGTCTCTCTGCCTAGCTGATGGAAGGAACGCTGCTTTAGAAAAACTGGGGCTCAGGGAGGATTCACTGGAGGACTGCAGGCACGAACGCTTTCCTCAGCCAGGCGCGGTGCCATACAGCTGAAATCTCAGCATCCAGGGAGGCAGAGGCAGGAGGGTTTCTATGAGTTCGAGGCCAGCCTGGTCTACAAAGCGAGTCTAGAACAGACAAGGCTACACAGAGAATCTCTGTCTCGAAGGGGTGGGGGAAAGAATGCTTTTTTTTTCTGAGCCTCAAGTCTCTCCACTCTGACTATAGCACCATTGGGCCAGATGATACCAAGGGCTCATTTCAGTGCTTATCCACAATCCCAAGAGAAGGAAATAACAGATGTGGAAAGGCTACCCCAGGGTCCCCTCGGATCATAGGAAGGGCTGGGACCCCTGGAAAGCGGAATTCTTGCTCTCCCCATAGCAGGCCCCAGCTGCACCCAAACTCCCACTCTCCCTGAGCTTGCAAAACTCTCCATGTCAGCAAGACTCTCCCAACAGCTCATTACTCCCCAAGCAAGAACCAAAGGATTCCCCCAGTCCATCCTCTTCAGCCCTGGACCATCCTCTTCATGGAACCCCAGGTGTGCCCACCGGAAACAAGAAGCTGAAGGCTGCCTTTCAGCCCCTGCATGCAGACTTATCTTTTCTTCCCCTCCTCCCCTCTAGGACAGGAGAAATGAGTAAAACTGGGGGCCCTGGGAGAAGGGTCTTCCCCACCTAAAAATTGGCCAAGAGGTAAAAGTAGGGCTGAAATAAATGAACCTCAAGTTTCCAGAACCACCAAGTCCTGGGTGGGTGTGGAGGGCCTCCTTCTCCGAGGCTGATCCTGAAGGCTAGGAAGGGGAAGGCCAAAGTCTTCTATTTGGGAGCGCTATCGGGAGAGTCCTGCTTACATCAAGAGTTTTGCAAGCTCAGGGAGGAGAGTGGGAGTTTGGGAGTGGCCGGGGCCTGCTAGGGAGAGAGCAGAAGCCCACAGAATGACTGCTAAAGTGGTGCCGCTGCCCCTCAGGTCAGGCAGAGACACCTACGGCCAAGCGCTCGTGAGTCCCAGCTTTGCACAAGCCACTTGCCAACTAGCTGTTCATAACACACCAGCCAAGCAGAACGGCTGGGCCCAGAATGGGTGCCAGGCGCCACCTCTGGGTACACACTTGTCCCTCTACACTCTTCATGGCTTACAGTTTACAGAAGCACTCAGCAGCGGTCCATCTCACCACCACAGAGCTGGGCTAACAGCTCCTGCTCTGGGCTTCAGCTTTCAAGGTTCGGAGCAGCTGCGGGCCCCACTGTCCAATCGGGCCCAGTCAGGCCCCTGGAGCTCCTGGAAAACCACTGCCCTCCAAGACTCCTGACACTCACAACTGGTATCTCCTAGGGGGAGATACCTTGGGCCCTCACTATCGGAATCTGCACTGAAGGGCACTGAAGCAGTCTGTAAATGGACACAGCCATGCTAGAAGGCTGGCCCTGGCTGTCACCATCGCCTATCCTTAAGGTCCCCAGTGGGACCCAGGGGAGCATAATACATCCCTGTTGAGGTGCCATGGCTTCATCCCTGAGCTTAAAGCCATACTGACAGTCACACCACCAGCCTCCATCCCCGGTAACTGCACTGACTCCATTGCCACCGGGACAGCTTCAAAGGAGCCTAACCCAGGCCCGAACTTGCTGAGGCTCTCCCAGCAGCTTTGGTACCTGCCTGAGTCAAAAGTCCTCAGTGTTCCTTCTGTTCTGTGCTGAGCCCGTGTTGGGTATTTCTGGATTCCGGCGCTCTCTGACTTCTCGGAGGCCACTCTGCGAGCTCCTGTCTCCACACAGCTGGCCCCCAGCCTGTCAGGCATGCCTCGCCTCGGCTGAGGACACAGCAAAGGTTCCCGTCCCAGGGCCCTCTCCTCTGGCCTTCCTTCAGCATTCCTGCAGGCCGGCTCAGTTACTGCTGCTCATCCCAGGGGAAAGCTCCTCTGATCCCGGGGCCACCTGGGCAGCTGCCAAACCAGAATCTTCTTTTCATTTGTGCCTTCCCCAGCCCAAGTCCAGCAGAGCAGTAGAGCCGGAGGCATTCTCAGGACAGACAGGAGGGAGGAGCCCTGAGCCCCGCAGGGGAAGGCTGAGGACCGCTAGCTTATGGGCAGGCAAAACAGGGCCAGGGCACCCTGACTCTCTTCTTTGTAGTATGAATGTTCCCAGTGGGCCAATTCAACCCTACTAATGTTTCACTGACTAGACTGAGCGAAACACACAGCCAGGAGATGTTAGCCACTGCTGAGCCATGAAGCCCTGTGCTTTCCAGGTGACCATCCATCTGAATACCAAGGCTACACTGCCTCCCCCACCCCACCCCCTAACCCCCACCATCAGGAGCTTGTATGAGCTGTTTGGGAGTTCAGAAAGTGAGTGAAAGCCTGGTGAACCCCGTTTTTCACATGAAACCAAAACAGCCAAAAAGACCTCCCTCAGCTTGGCCAGGAACATTAGAGGCTGGCATAGTCCTTGGAGAATGCCAAAGGATGGAGCAGAAGACTTCCTCCCTGCGAAGCCTCAGGAGCAGTGGTTCTCAACCTGTGGGTCACAGCCCCTTGGGGGGGGGGGCGGACACAACTCTATCTCCAAAAAAAAAATTTCACATTACGATTCATTATAGGAGCAAAGTTACAGTTACGAAGTGACAATGAAAATAATTTTGTCGTTGCGGGGGGGAGGGGGGTCACCACAACACAAGGAACTGTATTAAAGGGTCGCAGTGTCAGAGGGTTGAGAAGCACCGCTCCAGAGTCGCAGGAAGGCTGGGGGCCCCAGGGGAGGGGCCGGGGTAGAGCCAGCATCTAGCAATTTCCTATGCCTCTCTGTTGGCTCTATCGAATTAATCCTTGACTCGTCTGTCGCTAGCCAAGAGGGGAAATTAAATATTAATAATGTTGCATTTGCTTATGATTGTGCTTTGCTGGGGACAGGGCAGGGTGTCCCGTGTAAACTACAGGCCCGTGCTGTGGAACATGCATCAAAAGGCTTGGAGGAACGGCCCCCTTCGGCTCCTGGCGGCCAGATTCAACACTTCCTTCCCGCTCCCCCCCACCCCGACCCAGCCATGTTAATTAAAACCATTGAGTCCCAGCCCACGTATCTCCCGACCACCCCAGGCTCTGCGCATACAGGTGGCTCCTGACCCTGCTGGATGCGTCTATCCCGGGCAGAGCCGCACAAACGGCTCCTGGTGCGGCCAAGCGCAGGGAATGGAGCAGCATGGAGGCAGCCCACTGCAGCCACACGGGACTCCTTCCTGAGGTCCAGAATCGCAGCCTTACAATTTCGCTTTGTTTTGAGACGGGTCACCTGTAGCCCAGGCTGGGCCTCAAGCTTGCTCTATAGCCAAGTATAATCTTGAACTCTTGATCCTCCTGCTTCTGCCCTCCAAGGGCTGTGATAACGGGCATAGACTATCACACCCAGGCTGCCCCTTTCTCACAGGCTATGTACACCAGTCATCTCTTCTGTGTCACGGGAAACTCTATGCCATCATTGCTCCCTTCGGTCCTGCATTTTACTGCAGGGATCCCCTGAAGGACAAGAATTCCTCAATGACAGCTGCCGCCTTAGAGATTCAGAGTCTGGCCCCTGGCTGGTAGCGGAGAACTTGCTACAAGACACGCTCTGACCCTAAGACCTCAGCTGCAAACCAGAGTTCAAAACACAAGACACCGAGGCAGCTAGGATAAAAGGTGTGATGCACACCTTTAATCGCCTTTATCCTAGCACTCTGGAGGCAGAGGCCAGTGAGTCTCTGTGAGTTGTTGGCCGGCCTGGTCTACGTGGTGTCACCCTCCCTGCCTCAAAAAAAAAAAAAAAAAAAAAGAAAAATAAAATAAAAGTATCAAACCCACAGGAGAGGAATGGCCTACGTAGTAATAATTTAGATATCTCAAAAAGGTAGAGACTTAGCCAAACTCACTGG